CTCTCCGCAGTTCAGCCTTGATTGCTTTTGAGCGGTCTCTCACCAAAGAATACTTTTTGTCTTTGAAAGCTTGTTCTTTCTTTAGACGCAATCGTTTAATCCTCCTTGCATTGCGACAGTAGAGAAGCAATCTACATGTCTGCCAATACGGTATCTTATTTTGATATACTGTCGGCACTAAAAGTCATTTGCTGATAGCAATGTTTTTGCATTATCAAAGATTACCAAACTCTAATCCAGATTTAAACAGAGTCAGAAGCATGGGTTCGCACAATGTATCCATGGTCATTTCGCTGCAACTGTACACGTGTATGCTGCAGTCAAAGTGATCATTTTATAGTCAGTGAGATAATGAATGTGGTAGGAAATCAAGATAGTTAATCACCGCGGACTCGGCTCAACACAATTCACCGCAACATCCGGCTTACTCATCTCGACGAACGGGATGACCGCATCCAGCTTTTAGATACTCATCGTCCACATGGATCAATTAAAAGATCTGTCTTCCGAAAGAACATGTGGTTTGGGCGGTACTTGAATTTCACGAACTTCGCTCTCATGCGATACAAAATTGGTCTCGTTCGCACACTATTTCATCGAGCTCATGAAATATGCACAGAGGACTGTTTAAACGATGAAAACAACGTCCTAAAAGAAGCACTGCAAGCAAATGGATATCCGGGCGCATTCATCGCCAAGCATAGTAAAGTAACACCAACAGTAGACAACTCAATAACTGTCCCGAAAAGGGAAACCTTTTTGAAGTTAGCATACAAAGGCGATGACGTGATTGAACTAATTGGCAAGCGGGTGAACTCTGCCGACAAGCGGATCTATTACGCAGCTGACCCAGTCATTGTCTTCATTACCACCCAGATACCAACGAAATCGGTGAAAGAACCATTGCCCCTTTCCGCTAAATCATATTGTATTTATCAATTCAAGTGTGGATGCACGGTCATCTACATAGGCAGGACAGAGAGGCAGTTACGTCACCGATTGGCCGAACACAAATCCGGGTGTGGCTTAAGAAAGCAATGGACGACAATTTTGCAACTGTTACGTCATCGAATGATCGGAAAAAGTTTAGATCTTCAAAAACGCAGCAATTATTCGGATAAAAACACTGTGTCACTCAACCCGACGCATTCCAGATCACCTACAGCACAGCAGACACAAAGTTACTGAAATTCGCCGAGGCCCTAATCATTCATACTCTCAACCTCGATCTATGCAAACAACGTGAATGGTTAGTCACATTTGTTTTGACCATGTGATTGACCTCCTACCTTCTCTCGTTCCCCTTTTTTGTGTTGTTTTGTCATGCTGTCCGTTGTGATTAGCGATCATGTCTTCCTCTCACATTTATTATCTCACTGATTATAAAATAATCACTTTGACTGCAGTATGTAAGTGTACAGTTGCAGCGAAATGGCCATGGATACATTGTGTAAACCCATGTTTCTGACTTCTCTGTTCATATTTGTAACGGGAAAATAGTGTTTTCACTAATCCAGATTGGCAACAATTTTTCGTCAATGACAAGTCAAAAGACGTTACTATGACTTATAAGGAAGACAATTTATTCACGCCTTAAATTATTTCTGGAGTAACGTTCTTGATCGGCGGATCCAAAGGAAAACCAGATAAAGAGAATTTCACATTAGCACAAATGGCTAAACTTGATCATAAAATTATCCGTATCTGTGATGCTCGAGACCGGAATGGAATAAGAATAGCTACTCACTATGTGAAGTACTTGTGAATACAGAAATAGGGGTGTTAATTACAGCCCGACACGAACGTAAATTGGATCAAAACACAGTGCTGTAATTAAGCACGATCCGGAATCAATTCGCTGCATCCTAGCCGGTGAATACTGCAGAAACGTGATTTCCATATAACCTGATCACAGATGAGAAAACGCCTCTAATTTCTGCAACCATACATTTGTTTTTCAAGTATAGTACCAACATAAAGTAATTCTGACTTTCAAAAGAAAAGACCATATGGCAATACTGCACGATTTATGTCCAGGACGATTTCGCTGCATCTCAACATGATGCATACTGCAGAAAATACAGTTTTCATACAGGGCTTTAGCATGTCAACAAAATAAAGCAAAACATT